TATGCAATAATAAAACGGAAAATTAATGGGAAGATTTGGAAAGAAAGAAAATTGAAATTAAGAATGAAATCAAAAATAAATGAATGCGTATTGACGAAAGACATAACGGAATGAAAAATAAACCCTAAGAAATATTAAAATGTTGAATATATAAAAAGAATAGGGGGAAAAAGAACGAAATGAAGAAAGATTCCCAAAGACGAGAAACATTTTCTCTAACCGTTTGAAGTGATGGAACGGTAAATATTTGTATATGGAATTGATTTGAGATTCTACAATCAGGAGCAGATGTGTCAGTTATTGATAGATATGGACACTTCTTTAAAGAAATTGTGTCCACCTCAAGCAATGCAGTAAAGACACTAAGGCACTAGGGGTTTACTGGAAAGAATTAGAAATAGAAACATTAATAAGGAGCGAGAAAAATATGTGTAATCTGGACAATAGATATCAACTTACAATGCATTTAAATTTTTGATGATTAAAATTGGCTAGAAAGTCATACATTTAAATTGATTGATTTATTTCTTTTCAAAATTATATTGTTGCTAAAGTATTCATCATCTGGTCTCATTGCATTGAAAAAAAATCTTATTCGCCCTGTTTTTTGCACTAAGACATAAGGGTTTACTGGGTGTCAATGCATAAAGAAACGGAAAGATTAATATGGAGCGAGAACAAGAGTAAGGAGGAGATTAACAAATAGCGATTGATATTTCATTTAAAACTTGACTGGAAAGCAAGAATTCAGAAGAGAGTCCCACAACCGAGATGTACGAGAAAAGAAACTGTTAGTATCGAACTTAGTGTTACATAAAGCCAATTCAATTGCGAATTGATGGGACCTTGTTGATTCAAGTACTCTACGTTGAATTCACTCAATCTCCTCCGTAAGATTACCGAGAAATGAGAGAAAAGAAACTGTTAGCATAGATTATATATATATATATATATATATATATATATATATATATATATATATATATATATATGCATTTATAGATATAGTTTCGCGTGGTACCCAGCACTAATTACTACGCTAGTATTCACGATGTTTAGGTACTATAGTAAGGAGCTTATCTGAACCATTACTATGAAAGCATTTACAGAAAATGCACATGGAAGCAACTTTATGCCGGCGGGAAATTGACTAAAACCGAAGAGACACGACAAGACTAATAATAATTCTTCATTGATTTTTATAAAAAAAAGAATCTAATTAGCTCTGGGCCATATGTAGCAGCAATATTCGAGATATGGACGAATTGTAGACTTATATATTCAGGAGAGACAAATGGTCTAGCACGACACAGTGAACTAACCTAGCAGTCCTATAGACTTTCCACTTCAAATCAGTCAAAAATGTTAGCCAGAGAAGGTGGAAAGTGTCGCTTTCTGAGAGGTGTAGCATCAGCCACGCTGATGGAAGGCAGAAAGATATATCTCAGATGATTTATAGCAGTTTTTTTTGCCGTTAAAATTAACAAGCCGTCCTTTCCACCAGTTGACAACTGCCTGACATTGAGATCAGTCACTAATTTGACATTACGTATTCTCTGTCACCGTCCAGTTCTATTGTTTATCATATTCGAAAATCTGCTTGGTATATGTCTTGGATTGTCATCTTGTGGTAGCCTTTCCTTTCGTAGTTCATCAAAAAAAGGAACTCACTAACAATTTCGTCCTTAGCGATCTAGCAATAACATGCATGTTTGTATCTACGTTCTTTGATGATTTCTGACGCTGGACGAAGATTTCTATATAATCCCTCATTGGTCAGACGATCTAAGTATCATTCAAAGCTATTCTCAGTATACGAGTGTAGGCGCAATCAAATCATCTTTCCAGTTTTGTGGTAAGAGTCTATGCTGAGCTGCTGTACAATAGAACAGAGGTAACAGTTAGTTGAAAGAGTTTTCTTTCCATGCTGTCAGATCGTTTAGATTTCCACATTAGAGATAACTTGTCGATGGCACACCAGATTTTAACAATGTCTGCGTTCATATCACTGTCTCAGATAAAGATTTTACTACCTAGATAAGTAAATTCTTATACACAGTTGGCAGCTGCTCCTGAAAATGCTTCCATTGTTCCATTATGTATTATGTTTACTTAGATTTTTGTTTACATTCGCTTTTTTTTAAAATTTATTTTACAAACGATATTTACAGTATTTACATTAGTCGGACTATTGTCCTCATCTTTGTCGCCATATTTGTCACAACGTTTCGGCCGTTGTACGCTCCGGCCTTCTTCAGGTTGTTGGAATTTCGAACTGAACCCTTTATTTCGATCACTAGGGTAGACTGTTCTAGTTCCACGTGCCATGTTTGATTGATGTCAGTTATCAGTTATCTCCTGCTAATTTTCCCTCTGAAAGTTCTCCACTGCCTTAACCAGGTATTGAACTCACCTTCTTTGGGTCTGTCACTAGATCTAACCAACGCCTTTATCCACGGTGCCATGTAAATACTGTACATAATACCTCATCTCAGAAATATAGACAGACTCTAAACGATCTTTAGTTGGGTAGAGAAAATATAACAAGGAAGTTTTCGAAAGTTTATAATAATAATATTAATAATAATAATAATAATAATTTTTTTTTTTGTCAGTGGAAAGTGTCATGACGCCATTTCTAACCTTAGGTCCCTGGGCGGGACCTGGAAAGAAATGTTTAAACGCCAGAAATCAAAGAAAATAAAAATAATAATAATAATATAAATCTAAACTTAAGAGAAAATACAAACAGACACCATCCAAACAAAAATATGGTAATAGTGGGTGTAAATAATATGACAGAGGATGAGATACAAACTAAAATAAATTAGATACGAAATAATGATCTCTTGGGAAATAAAATGGAATAATCGAGCTACGACGTAAATAATTGTTGGGATTCAGATTCTAAACGAAGACGAATCAAACGACAGTAAAGCAGATTTCCTTGAAAACAACTGAAGCGAAAACCACATCATTCAAATAATGAGCAAAGTAACTCCCACAGAAATGTCAGAAAGAGACCGACCACCAAAATTTCATATGTCAAATTCCAATAAATATATTGTGTAAACATATAACGCTACATGGCAAACATTGTTAATGGACAAAGCATAAGAAAACATCTCAGAAGTAAATAATATCATACATGCAACAGCTTTGGCAGCTACTAAAAAAATTGCTATAAAATTAAATAAAAGATTAAACAACAAAGATAGCCCAAACATATTATCCCGAGAAACTGAGGAAATCAGATGTGAGTTCTCGATATTAGATGAGATTTCAGGAAATTCAGATATTTCAAACCGAAGCAAGGTGAAGCGGAAATATAAAATTAAAGCAGCAAATGAAAGAAATACTAAAGAAGAAACTGCTTAATATATTATATATTATTAATATAACGCTACATGGAAAACATTGTTTTTAAGAAAACATCACAGAAGTAAATAATATCATATACGAAACAGCTTTGGTAGCTACTGAAAAATTAATGCAGCAAATGAAAGAAATACTAAAGAAACTGCAATTAAAGGCAAAGACAACAAGATATGAAAGCGTTGTTGATTTTATCGACAAAAAAGATATTCCAAACGAACCACAAGAATTCTTACAGGAAAATTGGAAAAAGCTTTTATAGAAGTCAAAACAGATATCATCTATTGAAAAAGTGCAAACATTTTGGGAGAATATTTGTAGCAACTCAAAAGAAATATATTCGCAATGCAGAATGGAACAAACAAGCAGCAAAAAATAAAGAACGATAAACCTCTACAAGAATGGAAAAAATATAACCAAGAATAATGTTAGGCAAGATCTAACAAAACCCCCAAAATGGAAATCCCTAGGAACTGACACAGTACCCAAAGAATGGCTCTAATACCAATAAAAAAAAATCTTACGCAAATTTTATCATTGCTAATTAATAAACCAAATGAAATTTCAGAATGGATCAGACAATCATGTACCATACATGATACACGCTTAGGCGATAATATAACTTCCGATACATGACTGACGAGGTAATTTTTTCCATTTCTTTCTGCGATAGACCATTTGCCATCCAAGGCTACAGAACCCGGTCTGTCCTTCTATTTTCCCATACCTTTCCCAAGGGTATTAGTACGTAAGTGAATGTAATGACTTTGACTGGATTCCTCAAGTCCGAGCCGTTATCCATTACACCAACGTATCTCGCAGAATGGATCACTGAATGTATTACATCTCTTTTAGCAAAAACGGTTGAAACAGATGATCCAAAAAAAAATTATAGGCCAATACAGCCCACTACATATAATTGATCACGTCTCTTCTGACGAAATGTTTATCTCTTTTTTTTCGATGAAAACAAATTCTTCCTCTGGAAGAGAATGGATTTTGAAGACCTTTATATGGTTGCAAAATCAACTATTGATAAATAAAATTGCAGGGGAAAAGGTAAAAATCTCAGCACAGCTTGGATAGATTACAGTAAAGCCTTTGATAGTACACCACACTGTTGGATCCTTAAAGCTTCGGAAATGTACAAAGCCACCTAGGTGATAGTAATTTTCCGGGTTTCTGCAGATATTATTATTATTATTATTATTATTATTATTTGCTGCATTCTAAATTTCTTAGCGCAGACTCCCCAGCCGTGTCTACATCTTCAGCCGACCGTGAATGAATGAACATCACTTCTGTTTTCTGGATCAAACAAATCACAACGTGGGCACGAAGCAGGATTAAACCAGTGGACCGGTAGAATAATCTACGGATACACAGGGGACCTATGGCCACTCCCTTAAGTTCGGTTAGGACCGAGTAGACACCTCAACCAAGAGGGTAAGACGGCAGAGGTTGAGGGGCTGGGGCGAAAGTGCTAGAGGGTGATTAGTCGGATTCATACATTTCCCAAGGGTACTTTCGCGTGAGTGAATATAACGAATCAATCTGGAATTAGAACTCGGCTCTCCGATTTCGAATTTCGAACCTTTATCCATTTCACCACCCGCACATCCAAGCTTACAGCCCCTAGTATTCTCAGGCGGTCACCCATCTAGATACTGACCAAGCTCAACGTTACTTAACATCGGGGATCGTGCAAGAACCGGTGTTCCAACGTGGGAAAACATCGATTACATACGTGTTTGAGTGAATGGTACATGTGTAGAAAAACTAGGGCATATCGATGTGGTGTAATGTTTAGCAAACATATCTCGCTAGATCATTTAAAATCGAGCAGCGAGTTCGATCCTCACTGGTGTCCAATTCTTTCTGCTTTGTGCCACATCTTAACTAAGCTTGGAAAAGCACCATGTGTAGAAAGACGGTCTAACCTTGTTTACACTTTTATTGAAACGTGAACTCCTCCATCCGCTATGACGAGAATGTTTGCTCAAAGCACTGAAAAAAAAGGTCGCTAATGTGTTGCGGTTTTGGTCGTACTGATGTACTGTATTCTCAATCGATGTTCTCGTGAGATTAAACTCTTTACTCAACCATTTGTTTCTAGTTTTTTTTGTTACAGTCTTACTAAACCGCATCTACAGGTGGTATACGAATTTTACATCAGTTCAACGGGGAATGGAAGAGATAGAAAGGAAGGAAATAATAGTCACATCAACGAAGGATAACAAGTTGTTGAACGCCATGTTCAACTACGTCGAGGAGAGGTGACGGCATAGCAAAAGAAAAGAAGAAAATTAAAAAAAAAAAACCAAACAAACCTGAAACTATTTAAATAGGCATTCGCACATAAAAGACTATTTGGGGAAAAATCTTCAAGAAAAAGGTAATCAAAACAACCGAGAAAAAGTCGAATAAACAAGCTCTCAATCGAAATTAATCTTTATTTGTCTCCTTGCTTGTCAAAGTCGTATCTGTGATAAAAGATGTTTAGTTGCTGACATTACGAGAGAGAGAGAGAGAGAGAGAGAGAGAGAGAGAGAGAAAAGAAGAGAGAGAAAGAGAAAGAGATACAAAGAGAGGAGAAAGAGGTGAATTATTCGATAATGGAAGCGGGTCATTGTTGCTAAATCCAGCTCCTAGGCATTTGGGTGAGATAAATCATTCGGATTTGTTAAAGGCTGATGGCCGACATTATCAGTGATGTTACTAAGATAGTGTCAATCGAACAAGGTTGTCGTCTGATAACAGTTACATTCAAATATGACGGACTCTCCGATTGTCTCTGGATGTGTGGGCGGTGCTATGGTTAGCGGCTCGAAACTAGAACTCAGAGTGACGAGTTCGAATTCTTGTCGGGTTTACTGTATTCACTTACTCGCAAATACTATCAACCTATACCTTCCCTCATTTACGAGACTTACGGCCGCGTTAATTTGAAAAACATATTCTCGTACGATAATCAAACATCAGTAACGAGATGGGTGCTGTAAGTTTGGATGTGCGGGTGGTGTAATGGATAATGGCTCGTAAATGTTAATCGTAGAGACGAGTTCCTATTTCAGTTCCTTATATTCACGTACGCGCAAATAAACTTGGGAACTGTCTAACTACACATCGTCACCCCTACATCTATAGTTTAATTAGTAAAACGAGTATTACTAAAATCATTATTATCTCAAATAAAAATGCGTAAAAATATTTACATTTCGGCATTAGATAATGCATCGATGGTGATATGCCGCTAACCAAAAACAAAACATAGCTTATGAGTTAACTTTTATCTGAAATATAATATTCTGACGAAAATATAAAATCTAATAACGCAAAATAGGTTTTAGTTTATGTTGAAATTTGAATAAAGCATGGAATAATAATAATACAACACAAAATGTACTTAAACAAAATGTATTGACACAAGAACGTGTACACAATATTTACAGATAGTTTGGTATATTCTTGGGAAGACCGTTCCTGTAGAATGGGTTGACTTAGTCGCAGTCGAGCAGAGTCTCTGGATTGGGTCTCTTGTTACTTCCTCGTCTTCCCGGTACCAACCCATATTTATATGGTCGGTACTCCACTATGTAAATTAGGTGGATCGTACCACAACAGTTTAAAATAACCCGCAAATGGTTGATAAGCCGTAAAAAAGAAATCAAATGTAAAATCAACTTTCGTCGTCTTTGATGTATGAGTTTTCAAAAGTTTAGAATTAAAATGTCGGAAGCCCAGGACTTTAGATTTGATTAAAATGGGAATAGAGTGAACTGATGCACATAAAATGCCACGAGATCCCCAAACAGCTCAACTTAGATCTTAAATTGTCCTTCTCCTAGACTAGTTACCAAACATAGTTAGAGCGCTGTGTTCTCCCTGTTATTTACACCATTGCTGTTAAGCGAAAAAATGGATTCGTAACTCTTCCTTTACCCAGCTTTTGAGAGATTGGACATCTTGACACTATTTATCGTAAGAATCATTGAAAAATCCTTTAGTTATTCAGCTAGAGATAAAACAGGTTAAAATGGTTTTGTGCAAGCCCCACTATATCTTCCCAACTGAGCAATGGTGTGAGGAAAAGATCATTCAGCCCTTCAGTAATGGTACGAAAATCCATACATTCGTACATCCATATATAAATGAATATTTGTATACGATTACACACAAACACACACACACATATTTGTAAACAAGTACATCCATATATGAGTATACATATATAAATATTTGTATACGATTTCACACACACACACACACACACACGGTGTTTACTCATTCCCCCACAAGAATGAGATGTGACACAAGGTCGGATTAATGTGGGGACCCGAACGCGTACACTCGGGCAGGGACAAAAATTCCCCTCAGCCCCCAAAACCGTCGGGAGCGCTGGCCTCGGTGCGTGCACCGATCCCTCCCTATTGTGCAATGGGAGGACGCGGCCTCAGGCAGCTGTTCCCCAGGACTGGTCACCTCTTCAGTATAATTTTCCTCAGTTGCCCCTCTGTCCTCAGACAGAGAAGCCCCTGAGCGCACTCTGTCCAAGGACAGAGACACAACTGAGAGATAATAAATAATGCGAAATCCCTCTAAGGAGGAATTTACACACACACACACACACACATATATATATATATATATATATATATATATATATATATATATATATATTATAGATGATCACACGCAAATTCCTGTGTAAATATCGTAGTTTCTATGTAGGACATGTAATTGTTGGAAAACTTGGTCCGAGTGGATTTCCCATACTAACACCATTAGTTTGGATGTAAATATTGCCATTATGGTCATAGAAATGGACTTTGGTTGGGCATGCGTGTAGTAATTTTTTGGGATGGATGGTTTGATAGATGGCAGAGAGATGGAATTATTAGTATATACAGATTTGAGGATAATATCAATAGTTTGGTCGACAAGGACGTTTGTAAATAAGTTTTCGACGTCAAGTGAATCTTCTCTAAGGCATATTATAAAGAAATATACTACTCAAGTGCTAACCGTATTCGGAAATTAAAAACATCCGTACTACACACTAAGACATACACGGAATGCGCACACTCAATTAATCTGGAAAATCGAATCATCCTTTATAATGGCTAAAGGTATTGCCGAAAGCGCTCTGAAATATAAAACATTTTGACAGTTCTTACACACCCTTTGTCTAGAAAAGAAAGCTCTTGTTAGAACACAAGAACAATTAAATAAAAAGCTTAACCGTAGTACATTGTCTGTCGTTTTTAATGAAACGATGCATAAAGGAAGGATTGCTGCCTAAATATACAACTATGTATGTGTATATATAAATATATATATATATATATATATATATATATATATATATATATTTCTACATATATATATATATATATATATATATATATATATATATATATATATATATATTTGCACACATATATATATATATATATATATATATATATATATATATATTTCTGCACACATTATATATATATATATATATATATATATATATATATATATATATATATATATATTTCTGCACACATTATATATATATATATATATATATATATTTCTGCACACATTATATATATATATATATATATATATATATTTCTGCACACATTATATATATATATATATATATATATATACACACACTTTTAATTTGCTCCTGCATTAGTCGGACAAGTTAGAAAACGGAAACAAATTTAAAGAAATACATAATATATATCATACTTTGGTGTTAATAAAACATGCCACATCTTGTGTGTATTTCCTTTAAAAACTTTTTTGTATCAATTCCGGCAAATTTGACACAAAAGATATTCAATTATGCTGATTCCCAAAGAACAAATCTTACCGGCTTATTAAATACCTTTTGTAAACAGTTTTTAGCAATACTTGCCGACTGTGTTTTATTATCTATTGTGCCAACTCGTTATATTTTGCAATCTTGTTTCAAAATAATCGTTTTTAAGTTGTGCCAAAGTTTCTGCAAACGTATACATGTGTATAATACGACATCAATTTCCTGCTTTTAAATTTCGTTCAATATTTCTTGCATTAGGTACATGAAAATGTTGTATTCTTTCGAAGTTATTATTCACTATTATTTCTGAGAAATTCGTTTCAGTCATATAACCGTTTGAAAAAAAATATTTAGTTCTTAATGTAATTCTTTTTGTCACCTTTGCTTCAGATTTTCTGTTTCTTTCATTGTATCTTTCTTTGCGTCGTACTTTATTGGTCAAAAGCAGCATTCCTAGGTTTCGACTTGACAAAATTCCATTTTCAAATCTTAGAAAATATGGCAATAATCACTCTCTCTCTCACAGATTTTGAAATAACAAACGGTGATAACATGCATCCTATTTACAAAACTAGTGGGTATTGTAGACCAGCCAAGAGCCATAACAATTCGGAAGAGATTTGGAATAGTTAATTCTATATATATATATATATGATGGACTCTCCCGTCGGTTTCGACGTATGAGGTTCCGACAACTTTGTTTATTTAACCTTGTGTGTGAGTCGCAAGTGACCTTTCAGTGCTGCTAGTGATTTGCAAAGAAGTCCACAGATTGTGCAAGAGTGTGGATTCTTGGAGTATATGGCTGGAACAGCTGCAGATATTTAATTCCTTTACCTAGTTTGACAAAGCTTGACAATGTTTGATGCTGCCTTGTTCTTGATGCCATTGTAGCATGTAGTCTTC